TCAGGCTTACAAGTTCATCACACAACATACAACCTGTCTCTTATACACATCTAGTGAAAAAATTAATGAAATATAATTTTGAAAACAAAAAAATTGCAAGCAAAATATGTTTTTGTTTTTCGTGGTTTTAAATTTTTTAATAAAAATTAATTAACAAAAAATAGTAAATTTTTTACAAACAACGAAATAATTGTCTAATAAAAAATATAGTAATATAAAAATTATCTTCATATTTTAGTCCTATATTGTATGTTGTTTAGAACAGCTTCAGCAATTTTTCTAATATTATACACACATTCTTATTGATTTTTTGTTGTAATTAGATTAGCCAGTTATTTCTTAAAATATAAAAATACTTATTAAATTGCTTAAATTGTTATGGATGAGCGTGAGAGAGAGATGGAAACAATGAAATAAGTATATCGTCATCTAAAATGCAAAGCAATGTTTCATCAAAAAATCGAAAATCGCGGCCAGATATAGTAAGCAATATATAACCATTTTATAACCAAAAATCAAAATTTGTTTCGCTATGACTGCTCACAAAAAACTTATATTTTTTTAGTTTGCTACTTTGCCATATAGGTTCTTAGACACCTCCAAAAAAAATTCTCTCCATGTATCAATTCTTAATTGTAAGTGGAAGTTATAAAGTTCAAAAGAAAAGCAAAATTTTTCAAGTAATCACACTTTGGTCGTTAGTAGTATACCTCTTTTGTAAAGAATCGATATTTGAATTGTCTATCTGATAGAAAGAAAAACAAAATATAATACGTAGGATCTTACCGATATGAGTAAAAGCTCATAATTGGAGACAACTTCATATAGATATGTAAAAATGAATGCCAAGTGAAAAAATATTCATTTTTTTGAACCCACCTTAATATTTATGTACCTATACATCAATGATATGCAAACAGATAGAAATTAGGCAATATTGTAGCAGACTTTCTGTTTTTTTTGTCCGGCGATTTATACAAATAAACGAAATATAGAAGGTTGTGGTGTAATAGTTTTATTAGAAAAAAAACTGAAACATTTGAAACATTTTGAAGCAACTCATTAGAAATATGGATGAGATTAATCACTCTAAAACGCAATTTTCCCACTTTTTCCCAATTTTAGAGTTTCAGTTTTAAGGTTTTATAGCCTAGGAAATGATGGAGGGTAATACTTTCCATTCTTTCCAAATAAAGAACTGTTTCACTAGTTTTTACTATTTTCAAGCACCATGTAATACTTTGGACTGAAGCTTAGATCCCATTCCAACGCTTTCTACAGAAACTACTAAATGCTACATGAAAGATGTTATAGGGCAGAATACTCGTGTCCGCACAACTAAAATTCATTTATTAGCCACGACCGATTCGTGGACAGCTTCAGAATTAAATTTAACTCTTCGAAAAAATTACGCTTAATTGCTGCTCCAATTTATGTTACATGTCATGTCAGCTGAGAGAGAATGAGAGTACAACTCAATAGCTGGAACTTTATTAAAAGTTTTTTAAGCTCGAAGTTTTGCTTTTTTAATCACAAATGTCAGTGTTTTTATTAACATTTGTTTCAAAATGGGATTGAACTCAGATTCTGCAGGAATTTTATGGTTTTTGTCCGTACTAAGTACACTTGGTGCTCTAACTGACGCTCTATTTGCGTTTTTGATGCGCTCAGAACTTTATCTCGAATTCTTTCAGCAAAGCTATATTATCTATCAGTATGACTTTTTTCATCTAAACTGGTATGTTTTAGCGAGGAGACGACGAAAAGAGCCCTTGTCGCTCGTGTTCGGTGGCAAAGAAAAGGTAAAAGAACTGAATTTTTAACGTTCAATACTTAGTAAAGTAAATTAAGCCTGATAGCTCTCAATATAAATTTTTTTAATCATTTTTAATTGAAAATTAATACTATTACGAATCATATTGCAAAAGTTTTCATGAAATTAATTTATAATTTTAATTTTATTTACTTTTCAATATTTATTAGCGATCTTGAACGGTACAACAAATCCCTCCGTTCATATTTTTGGTAAAATTTCAATCTGTAAAACGTTAAAATCCACCCCATTAAATCAACTGTCAAAGTCGGGTAGATGAACTGTTCTCTCATTTACAATGACAGGAGAGTTGGGCATCTCTATATCGCTGGGGAGAACTCTGATGTCATTAAAAATTTTTCTTTCAAGCGATTTGTGATATTTTTGAAACCACCATATTGTTTAGGCATATCGCTAAGTTAGAATCGCATCAGATTTCAGAATATTAAATATTTAGTATACTTTTCGATATTAAGATACAGCTTCAACGAGATAAGAGCAAATATTAATTTCGGAATTTTAGTTTTGTTAGTAAACCTGGAATATTCGCAGGCTCAAAAACAAAAAAAAAAAAAAATATTTCACTGCTAATTTGTTCCTCATTATAGTGCCTCATTTACGTTCTATAGCAGGATCGCAGTTATCAATACTTTGTTGAGAATTTAGAGAGTCGTGTAAATGGGAAGTAAGAAGAAAATTAACAATTTTCAAACTAAATTGTTGGAGTTGTAATTCCATTGCTTCAAATGGTTATGTTTTTTGCTTTTTTACTTCACAGCTTCAAACTTCTATATTAATATGTACATATGTATGCATGCAGTTAATTATGTTATTATGTATCTGATGACTTGTACTACATTTTCAAATTTCAGTTGCTTTTGATTGTATTTATGTATGCATTTCCAGCACTTGACAGCTACGAAAAAGTATAAACACAAGTTAGTAAGTTGATTTTGTTTTCTTAAAACTAGGAATTAGTACTTATTGACTAACATTCATTAGAGATACCCACAGATAATTGTAGTTGCACTTGCAGTGTCAGTTTTGTTTGCCATATACACACATACATTTTATCAATTTTATTTGCATTTTTTACAACACTGGTTCTTAGTAGTAGGTGAGCTTAGCTAATTTAATTTACTTCAGTTCAATACAGAGCAGCTGCTTAAATACATTTATAATTGTACATACATATATATTTACACATTGTATTGTGACTACTTTTAGTAACTTTTTGCGCTCTAACTAGTACACTAGTCCCACCATGCCCGCTTACTTCCTTTATGGCTACGTTTATTTTTGAATTTTTATTTTTTTGTTTTTGTTGTTGTTAATTTTTCTTTATGTTTTTGTTATTTTTAAATAATAAAGTATATGCCTCGTTTATGTTACATTTGAGTTGTCACTTTGAAACGCTTGCAATTGCTTTAAAACGTTTTGAAACACTGAGAATACAAATACACCTACAAATACACCGACACAGACACACGCACACAAACGAAAAACAAAAAACGTATTTAGTCTTAAAGTAGTCAAACTAGTAGAGTCTAGTGGCTGCACACCCACCTGCGCCACACGCTTACACTTGCCCACTCACATGCCGCGCTTAGACAGCCTAATTTCAGAGGAAACTCTCCCGCGCGCCATGCCGCTCATCGCCCAACATCACACGCTGCGACGGCGGCTCGCCATACTGATCCTGATAGTAGTTTTCACGCATCATTGTATTGAGACTCGAGCAGCGGAAATAGAGTATCTCCTGGAAGGGCTTGCGGAAATCCCTATTCAGTGTGGCATAAATGATGGGATTAAGCAATGAGTTGGCATAGCCCAGCCAGAGGAAGAGTGAAGCGAGCGAGGGCGGCACATGCACCGTTTCCGATTCGACAAAGGGTCGTATCAGTGCGAGTATAAAGAATGGAAGCCAGCAAATGGTGAACGCCGACATAATTATGCCCAACGTAGTGGAAGCTTTCTTCTCTTTGGCTAATTGGAAACGCAGCTTCTTTTGATGCGGTGAACCGAGCAGGCCGCTAGTGCCACTCACAGCGCCGCCACTGCCGCTAGTGTGATGCGCACTCAGGCCGCCGCAAGTGGAGTATGTGAGCGAGGTGTTGCCATAGCTGCTGTGGCGCTGTCCATTGCCGCTACCCATCACCGTTAAGTCTGTATTGCCGGGCGGCGAGCCGGTGCCGTTGAGCGCATGCTGCAAATGCGTTTGTGCACGCTTCTCCTCGAGCACTATACGCCTGGCGGCGCGGAATATTTGATAGTACACAAAGAGCATCACAGAGAGCGGTATGTAAAAGGAACCGAGTGTTGCATAAATTTGATATGCAAAATTCTGACAGACAATACAGATGGGTGTGCCGTGCTCGTCCACATGCTCGTTGCCCAGTATGAGCAGTGGCGGCAGTGAAATGCTCGCCGCCACCAGCCATACCAGCGCAACGCAAGCCATCATGCGACGCGGTGTACGCTTGACGCCATATTCTAGCGGCTTGGTGATGGCCAGATAGCGGTCCACCGAGATGGCGCACAAATTCAATATGGAGGCAGTGCAGCAGAGTACATCAAACGACACCCAGATGTCGCACAGTATGGGACCGAAATTCCACTTGTCCAACACCTCATACAGCATAGCCATCGGCATGACTAGCAGCGCGACACAGAGATCAGAGAGCGCCAGCGAAACGAGCAGATAATTGCAGGGGCGCCGCAGCTTACGTACCATGCAGACGGCAATGCAGACCAGCACATTGCCAATTACAGTGCCAATAATGATTAGCAGCAGCACAATGCTGACAATAATCGCTTGCCATGGCGGCAGTTCGATTTCACCGTACTCGTCTTCGTTCGATCCCTGCTCCGACGGTGATGCTGTGGCGGCGCTAATGTCGGTGGGGTGTGCGCCAACCATGGGATCCCAAATGCTGCTGGTTGTGATGAGTGCGGCGCTTGCACTGCCACTGCTGCCGCTGCCACTACCAGCGCTTGCATAACTCGCGTTAATACTGTTTGCATTTTGATTGCTGCCGTTCAGCGCGCCACTGCCGCTAACGTTCGACAATGTTGACGTGAGAGTGATAACATCGGCTATAGAAATTAAGTTCGTGCTAAATGCACTGTTATTGAACTCATCAGCGCTTTCGCCGACTGGTGCCGCCGCGTCAGGCGCGTTGTACGCAATGCCCGCGCCGACGCTCAACGGTGGATTTGTGGGCTTGCTGTTCGGCAGCGAGCGTTGGCGCACTTGTGCAGCGGTGACAGTGGCGGCAGCTGAAGCCTGCGCTAGCCAATTGCTAAGCGGTAGTGTGAGCAGTAGAAGGACGGTGGCATGTAGCGTGTGGCGCAGTGCTCGCGGGCTGTGCTGCGCGCGTAGTAACAATTTGTGGCGTATGTTGCTGTTGTTGCTAATATTTGCGTTGGTATTGTTTGGGTGACGGCTTGGCGCAAAGCGCTTTGGCAGCGTGTATGTGTTGTTTTTATGTTTTGTAGGTGTATTTGTTTCACAATAGTGTTGTTGTTGCAGTTGGTGGACGTCCGACCGGGTGTATGAAGCCATATAAAATATGAATAGGGTTGTGTGAGTATTCAAATGAAAGTTTTTGTATGAGTGCGTGTGAATACGTGTAGGCGAAAAATAGCAAAAATTGGTTTATGGAAAATTTTAGAAAAACTCGCTTAGAAATTCGAATTAAACCTTTTGCGTGCTAACTCCAACTAGTTAATTACCAAATTATTATTATTATTATTTCTCCTTGTTTTTTTTTTTTTTTTGGTTTTGAGACCAAAGCGCGCAAAGTCGCTTTAGTCTGCCAGCAGCGTTGGCTCGTGGTTTGCGTGGAAATATATGTTGCGCGCAGGCTTTAGGGCTTTCAACGCCCGCGCTTTCAGTTGACGCGGCAAAGTACGTAAATCCATTTATCTCCCGCCTACTCCCGGGATTTTGCTGGCAATTACTTTGTGGCTTCTGTGACTTTGTGTCGATTCATGCTTCATGCGCGCACAGCACACTAAGCCCAAGTGGTTGCTGATAATTTTCTCCTTTACGTTTTTCTCCGCTTTTGTTTCGCTTAATTTTCGTTTTATCGTCTAAATTAGTCGCGTCTAATCTGTTTGTCATTAATCATAATTGTGGTGTTTACACATTTTGCGCGCTTATTTTCATAGTAAAATGTGAAAGCCTCACATCTCAATCAATTTAGCCTCACTCGCCGCTTTATTAAGTTTGTTCTTGTGCAATTTTACTTTGGTTTTGTTTTTGTTTTCCAAGTTCGTATTATGTTTCCTTCAACTTCAAGATTTTTTGTTAGTCTCTCGGTCATCACATTTGTTGCTAGTACCATTTCATTTATAGCACTTAATCACCGCCATCTCCGAACTGGGATTCGTTGCAATTAATCTTGTTGTAGTACAAGCTGTTCGCCTTAGAATTTCGTGGAATATATGTCTCACCGGGGATTTGCTATCCATCAACTTATTCACGTGTCTAAATTTAGCAAAGTTATACTGTTGGGATTATTTTGTTGAAATGAAACCGTTCGATTTGTTTACTTCATCTATCATAGATGGACTGTTGAAACTCTGTGCTGATTGTCCAGTTGCTGTAATAGAAAAAAATAATTTTTAAAACTGGAGTTTAAATATTTTTTTAAAGAGTAAGTATAATTCAATCCTATATGATACATAAAAATATAAAATCGGAACCAACACTTTTACACATTGTAAAAAATATTAATCAAATTTTTAAGGGTATCCAAGATATTCTACTTAGAGTTCGTAATTCAAAGCTAAAGAAGCTTATAGGTATTTATTTAAAAAAAAATTAGGATTTGACATTCTAGAACTTGTATTCCTTATATTAGATTAAACGCATTTCTCAGATGAATCAAGTATTGTAAAAGTGTGGTAACCATCCAAGTATTTATTGGGTAAAAGAAACATGTGCAGTGGGTAAGTTTAAGAAAATGTAAGGAGAGGTTAGGTGTGGTTAGGTGATAAAGTTTATCTAAAGTCGATGAATATCGCTAAACAGATTTCGCCCTTTGTGTTAAACAAAAACTCTTAAGAGTGGATCAAATCAATCTCATAAATGGACGAGGCGTTTTGAGCTTACCATAAAATTATTAAGACGGTTAATATCAAGATCAGCCATTCGCTAGGTTTTGTCTGCAAAAAAGTCGAGAAACAGAGGAGTAATTAATTAGCATACAGCTTTGGCTTTGGTGTAAACCTGTTGAATACTGTCCAGTCAGAAAACCTACAATTATAATATTTGACAAGCCCTCCGTCGGACAACGACCACACAAAACATTGTTGGCTTTACTACCGTTTCATAAGTAAGAGGCGTCACCACCTCATTGTTTTCGTTGCATGGTCAATACCCTGTAAGTTTGTCACAAAGCGTGTGAGATTAAAACCTTTTAATGTTATAAAAACTTCACCTGCGAAAGTATAGCCGACGATTTCTTCAAAATATATATATTATGATTGAAATGTTTTCATTTTTTAAACTCTTAAGTAAGTATGTAAAAATAATGATATAAGCATCACTTTGTTGTGTTTTTCCAGGAAAAAAGTTTTAATTTGTAAATTTTTAAAGACTGTAGAGAAATCCCTTAAGACCTCGCTACTTGCAAACAATGGCATAGTCGAATTTCTACAGTTTTTCTTCTACGTTAATTATTTCGGACAGACAGGTATTATTAAAATGTGTGTCTTAATATATCTTAAAAAGAGGAAGGGTAACAGCTATACCACACCACCTTATTTACCTACCTACAAGCATAATTGAAAGTAAGTAGACCGTGGAGCTGTTGAAGTGCAAATTAGTTGAATTGGCTCATTGTTTAATGGGAAATATGAAAACTTAAAGATTTGATATTCTAATTAATAATATTTAAGACATGGAGAGTTCATACATTGTCAGCAAAAAACTATTGCAGATAACCGGAATGAAAAAAAAAAAACAAGAAATTATGTATGCCTTAGTAGAAATTAATTTGATTGTCTATTATTGTGAAATAACAATTATTTGATAAGGACCTTCCTATCTTAGGCAGCTAATCTAAAATTTTAGAAACTGAGCCAAATCCAGTTCACTTTATTTATTTCAAGTTAATTTTCAACCAATAATACAATTACCGACAACTCAATTCGTCATTTGCCTGCCACGTCACTTTGTTTGTTTCGCAGTAAATCTCGAAATCTGCAGCAAAATATGTTACTTTAGTAGACTGCAGAATAATAAGTCGGGTCAAAGCAGTTGCTTGCTTCTGCTCATACCCCAAGCATGCAACAAAGTGCGAACAAAATATTCTGCTTACAATTTTGCTGATAATGCAAGTTCGGCTGCGTGGTATTTGCTCTAAATTGACAGAGCACACTTTCTAGCTTCTTTGTAACAAAATGAAGAGAGCACAGAGTTAAAAACTTTTTTTGTTATATGAATTTGTGTGTCTTAATCTCTTTATATCAGCAGTGACATGGAGTTAAATGATTATTCAGAAGCTCTTTGGAAAATGCTGTTGGTTCTTGCGTGTCCTAGAGAAATGTTTTATTTTTATTATTTTTTGTTACTGAATTTTGAATGAAGATAATTTCAGTAAACAAAAGCAAAATTTGTTAGGTAGTGCCAGTGTTTTACCGTGAGTTTCCGTTGTTGCTTTCTCTTAGTTGTTTTCTGAAACCGCTACTCTTAAGATGCGAAAATATTTTGGTTAAGAAATATTCTAAAGAGCGAGTTGCGAGAATTAGGTCAGAATACTCTCTGCGACTAATAAATTAGCTAATCTATCTTCTCATCATATTTGATCCAGTCTTACAAAATACCCAAAAAACTAACTAAATGTGCTAATATCCTCTCTTGGTTTAGTTTATAGGAATCAAATTTATTATAATGGTGCTGCTTATATTGCTGCTGCTCTGTAGTCATTATGTTTTCAAACAGTAAAATTAGCTGCGTCCGTTTTCTAATGTGTTTGAAAGTAGTGAATCGAACACTTTATAAGGAATGTTGAAACTGCTTGCAAAAACTGAGACATCAGCAAACATATATACTCAATAAAAAATGTTCTCAAAAGTCTGTAAATGAAAAAAGCGGAGCTGAATAAAGCGGTGCTACTACTTGAACTATGTAAATGTATGGAATTTAACGCACTAACTTTGTTTTTGCTATGGATATTACTTTATGTGTAAACTGTCAATTTGAAACTTCCAAGCACCTGATTCTGGACTGCGCAACAGTCTGTAGAAGCAAGTCCAAACCGCTTGGATCTATATATACGAAGAGAGATCACCACACCTCAAAGCGGAGGAGCATTTTGGAATTTATCATAGTGCTGAGCTTACATATATGAATGTCTAACGCAAAGGTAAGAACACAACAAATCTTAGGTCGAAGTGAAAACCTCAATTTCATCTATCTTTCTTTTTTGTAAGACACATAAATTTATAGATTCTGAAAGATCACATGCATAATATTAATCAAAAGAACTGAAAAATAACTTTATTTTCATAAAATATTGACCACTCAAAATAACTTTATACTTCTTATATTTTTTCGTTTTTTTTTTTTTTTGAATTGTTCGACATTTTTAAATAGTACCTTATAAATTTGAAATTTTCAGTGGTTCGCACGATGGAAATATATTTAAGAAATAATTATTAACAAGTAAATCGGAATACGTGATATATTCTGACAACCATTTCGAAAGAAGTATATAGTCAGTGCCGGTTTTAACACTACCAGCGCCCTGGGCAGGATTTCTACGGCAACTCCTCCAACTGCAATTCAAACCCATTCAAAAAAGGGAAAACATTTAATGAAATAACCGTTTATTAAAAGAAATAATTTTTTATTATAAAAAATAACCATTTATTACAAAAACACTAATAAAATTTTACTCTTCTGGCCTTTCTATCAACAGGTTATTATTAAAGTTATATTTAATAATATTCGCAATGCTATCCCTACATTTGGATACAGTTCTTGTAAGTTGCAATCTTTGATGAAATTTAAAACAAAAATGGGAGTAACCACATTTTGATCAGGCAAAAAGGATGTCGGGCTTACAAGTTCATCACACAACAAACAACCATCTATATCTGATTTAGAGTCTACAGTTAATTTTAATTGGAGATCACTACAGAGCTTGACAAGGTCGGGTTTTTCTGGAATGTGTTTAATATTGTACAAAAAAGACCAAGATTCAGAGTACCCAATTAACTGTTCGAACCTTTCATTAACTGAAATTAATGTAGTGTCCAAAAGACAGTTGAAAAATTTAACATCAAAGTTTTCTTTTTCTGGAGAAGTTATAGTGTCATCGCGTGCAATTTCACTAGCTTGACGCTTAACACGTTGAATTCTTGTTGTAGCTCGATATACAGATTCAATTTCTAGTTCTTCGGCCAACTCCTTCGCAGTTGAAATAGCGCTTTTAAAGCTTTTTCTGTAGTCTTCCAAGAAATTGCAGCATTTTTCAACATTTCTGTACATTTACCAAAATCCATATCTGTTGACTGTAGAGATTTACTTACAATATTTATTTGATAAAGTATATCATACCAAACAAGCAATGAAACTATGAAGCTGAAATCTTTTAGCTGTTCGGCCAGAGTAGTAGCCTCATGAGACTCTTGAACATCAGTTTTCTGACTTTCAAGAGTTTGATAACGGACTGTTTTAACACTACTTATTCTTGCTTCCCAACGTGTGTCAATGAGCTTTTTTATAGTATATAGTGCCAAGTGATCGGTTAGAATTTTCCATTGATGAACAGGAGCTGAAAACAATGTGAACAACCTCTGAAGTACCCCTAACAAAGTGACTGATCCTACGGATGACTTAGCCTCATCGCATAGTACTAGATTGTAGCTATGACAGCCACATGGCACATAAACAGCTAAGGGGTTTATGCCGAGAATTCTCCTTTGAACCCCAATATTTTTTCCTTTCATATTAGCCTCGTTGTCATAACCCTGACCTCGAACTATGAGCATGAGTTGGAGGGCGTCTGCGGCGCCCCTTTTGACAGGCGCCCTAGGCGGTCGCCCAACCGCGCCCTGCCCTAACACCGCTACTGTATATTCAAGGCACAAAATTTGACTAATTAAATAAAGATTACAAATTTTTATTATTAGGGAAGAGGTAAGGTTAGAAAAGTTAGAAAAAGTTAGAATTAAGAAGTCTTACGCAGGAAAAATTCTTGCAACATTTTCTAAATGAGCTTCAATCCACAAACAGTTGAAAATTATTTATGCGTTTAAATCACTTAATTAGCTAATATCTGTTATTTTAAAGCTTGTTATGAAATCAGAAAAATCTAAGTTATAACCGAGCATAAAGTTACCTGGTTTAGAGTGAATTTCAAAATATTCACAGCTGAAAAATTATTTATTATGTCTATTTAATACAATGGTGCGCATTGTAAAGATAATATTTAGAGACTGACTACAAAAACTTTATCCAAAATGAGTATTTTGTGTCCAATCTAATAGGCAATAGATTACACCAAATGAGAAGAACACGAACATAAATACTAAAATACCCTAAAAAATGTCCACTAAATCAAAGCTACAATGCTTTGTTGTTAATGCCAGA